AGCCCGTCTGGCACCCACCAGTCGGCTGGAGGCGCTGGTGACCTGTCTGGCTGAGCGCTCCACGCCGGCGCAGTGGGTGCCAGCCGGCGGCTCGGCGCCCGGCCGGCTGCCGCTGCTGCTGCGCCACCTGCTGGCCGTAGGGCGGCACGTTCAGCAGCTGGTCGAGAGCACGCCGCGTTTGTGGGCTGAGCTGCCGGCCGAGCCGATGACGCTGCGGCTGGGCCAGCTGCCGCGGCCTGCCCAATGTCTGCCTAGCCTGAGGGAAGCTGTCGCCGCGCGGCTCTGCGTGCCCACTCACCGCGTGGCCGTGACTGTCGTGGACGAGCAGCACCCGGCGCCGGCACGTGCCGTCCACGTGCGGCTGGACATGCGGCACGTGCACAGCGAGCAGCGGGCACAGCTGGAGGAGCTGACTGTCGGCTGGCGGCGCCGACCGCGCGCCGAGCACGTCCTGCTGGCGCTCTGTGCCGTCACCGAGCCAGACGGTGGTGACGGGCCGCTGGCGCACCATCAGGAGAGCGCGGCTCCGCTGCTGTCGCCCCCCAGCCGGAGGTCCAGAGCCGGCTCGGTCGTCGACCCCACGATGAAGAAGTTTGTGGAACAGGTGCGGCTCTCCGTTGGATAATGGTGACAGGTGGAGATTTCGAGCTTCACTTGCCTTCTATACGGTTGGTGATCGGCGTTAAAACTGTGTATGTGCTTTACATATCTGTGATGCTCCGAATACGCTCAAATAAAGCGCTCTAACGTCACCAATACTGCATTGTTATCTTCTACTTACTTTTTGCTTGCCTTCATGGGATAAGCTGGGAAGTTTGCAGTCGGAGAAAAACAATGAAAAATAACTATCACACATGCATGTTCAGAAGCCTCTATCGGCTCCAGCGACCTATCATTGACCTTAGCAATAAGCGCAAACGACCTAACAGCTACAACATTGTGCGCAACTGCCTGGCTAAATGGAACAGGTACGAGTGACTATAATAATGCGACTAATTCTGACCAATTTGATCCGACAAATCCTGACAAATCAGCAAAAAATTAGGTTAAGTGTTTGGCGAATTGCATATGAAAAAATGATCGTAGGGCAAATGTTATATTTTGAAAAGGTGTACACTCTTAACCCGCGCACCGCTGGGGGGGGGCAGAATCTGCCCCCCTCCCGTTTTTCGCCAATAACTTCCAAACGCGTTACGCCAGCGACGTCCAACTTTCAGTACCTTATCATACATCAATTTGACACGTTCCCTGTAAATTTGAGCGAAATCCGTCGGATTTTTTTTTTTTTAGAAAATGACGTTTTAGTGACGTCATGTTCGCCATTTTCCCCTAAAAAAATCGCAAAATTTCAAAAGCCGCTAACATCTTCATTTTTAAAGGAATCAAGACGTAACAAAAAAAAGGTTATACGTGATTCTACTTTGTCTATCAAATGGCTATATCGGTTTTTTTGAAAATTTTGGATTTTGGCCTAATTTAAAAAAAAGACTTTTTGGGAAAATAATTATAAAATCCAAAACTTTGAGTGTATCGAAAAAACCGGAATATATGTCAACTAGGTGGTCTATGTGCACCTATATACCAATTTTGAGAAGAATCGGTTCAAAAATGTGGGATTTATTCAAAATTTTATGACGTCACGACACACAATTTTTTGAAAAAATGATTTTTTGGAAGTTCTAGACCTCGCACGGAAACAAAAATAGCACCATTCGTCTCGCCGTGAAAAACTGCATCACATAGACACCTTTTTAGGCCTTAACAACCAACTTCAAAATTTGACCTCACTTGACCTGACCTTGACCTGACCTCGACCTGAAATTCATCCAGAGGTGGACCATATCACTAATTGAGTGTGCCTATTGAATTCTATGAATAAAATGACCCATAAAACATGTGTCGCACATGACCTTTACTATATTTTGTTTTTGGTGACCTGACCTGACCTCACCTGACCTGACCTTGACCTTGGCCTTTGAATGATATTGTATGCAACGAATATTGTCTTGGTAGCCTAAGAACACGTTTTGGGCAATCAGTCTCAGTCCATTCTTCGGTAATTACGGTGCTAGGCCGATACTGTAGAAACTTGCATTTTGTACCCTTGACCTGACCTTGACCTGACCTCTGACCTACTTAAGCAAAAAAAATTTGAGCTCTTTAGATTTGCCTCGTTGAGAGCTTTCGATTGCCGTTTTCCCCGTCTTTCTACGACCATCGGTTCGGAAGTTAGGGGGGGGGGCAGAATCTCTCCCTCCCCCAGCAGGGCGCGTATGGCTGAATAGCCCAGCGGGGCGCGGGTTAACTAGTCAAGACTTTGTGAGAATGATCCATCTATAGCTAAACAGTACAATGTGATCCAGAGGCTACCATTAACCCGCGCCGGGCCGGGGGGTGTTTGAACACCCCCCTCCCCCTGCGGTTTTTCACAGATATCTCAAAAACGGCGGCGCTCCGCGCCGCCGTGCATCTTTGTGCTCTGTTTGTGCATCTTTTCCGCACATGTCGTGAAAATTTCAGACCCAGGTCACCTTAGGTCAGGTCACCAGGTCACGCATGTTTGTGCATCTTTTCCGTACATGTCGTGAAAATTTCAGATCCAGGTCACCTTAGGTCAGGTCACCAGGTCACGCCAAGTGACCTCACCTCAGAAAAAAAATAAGAATGCTCGTCATAGCTACACCGACTGAACGATTGCCTTGAAACTTTCAGCGATTGATAAGAGCAACACTATCTATTAAATGTTTATCTCGGAATTTTGATATCGGTGACCTAAGGTCAGGTCAATTTTGAGGCCTCACCATTATATAGGTACCTAAGTCAACGGGAGAAAATTGAAAAGCGTCTGTTTTGCACGAACGCTATTCTAGACCCTCTCAAACATCGAGATGTAGGTAAAATTGACACACTGAACCAGAAAATGGTAACTGTGACCCCTCGTTATGTCCCCGAGGTCATCTCAGGTCACGAACAGAATCTAACAGTTTTTCGATAATACCTTCTGATAGAGGCGTGCTAGAGCGCTGAAAACGCCTTAGATGTGTTCGGCTCGACGTTACGGATCGACTGATATGCAATATGACCTTTTCCGGTCAGGTCATGACCTTGACCTGAGTTCAAATTTTCAAGTTGACCTTTCAAGGTCAAATTATAGTTCATTCGACGCGTCTCGACGAGAGGAACACGATGCTGGCAAAAGTAATGTCATGGCTCTTTTGAGTCAAAAGTTATTGTCGAAAAAAACGCTTTTCGTAGAAACGGCTATTTTTGGAGTTTTTGCCCTCTGGAGGCTAAACCGTTGACCTGAGGTCAAATCTGAGAGCATTACTCAGGAAGGTCTGTAAAAGGGCTATCGAATGCGCTTTTCTGCGGCGCTGTAGCTCTATCGGTTCTTGAGATAGCCGTTGGCAGTTTCCAAAATGTTGAAATAGTCAACATTTTACCTTTGGTGACCTCTGGTGACCTGACCTTTGACCTGACCCAAAAAATGACCTGAGAGTGTTTTCGTCCTTATTTTGGACGTTCTTTTGACTGCCGCTTACCGCGTGTCGCTACGTGGCCCAGGAGCCAAGTTAGAGGGGGGGGGTGTTCAGACACCCCCCGGCCCGGCGCGGAATCTCGGAGCACCGGCCCGGCGCGGGTTAACCCGCGCCCTGCTGGGGGGGGGGGGTGTTTGAACACCCCCCTTGTGGTTTTTCGCGAATATCTCAAAAACGGCGGCGCGGAGCGCCGCCGTTTTTGGTACACCTTATCATACATCAATTCTACACATGTTGTGAAAATTTCAGACCAAGGTCATTCAAGGTCAGGTCACCAGGTCACTTGAAGTGACCTCACCTCATAAAAAGTTTCAATGTCTGTCATAGCTACACCGAGTGGCCGATCGCTTTGAAACTTTCAGCGATTGCTAAGAGCAATAGCATGTACAAAATGTATATCTCAGAATTTTGATATCGATGACCTAAGGTCAGGTCAATTTTGCGACCTCCCCATTATAAGTCAATGGGAGAAAATTGAAATGCGCCTCTTTTGGACGAAAGACATTATAAACACTCCCAAACACTGAATTACAAGTGGTTTAGACACACTGAACATGGAAATGGTGTCCATGACCCCTGTTTATGCCCTGAGGTCATCTTAGGTCACGAATGGTATCTAACAGTTTTTTCGCAAATAACTGTTGATAGAGGCATGCTAGAGCGATGAAAACGCCTTAGATGTGTTCAGCTCGACGATACGGATCGACTGATATGCAACATGACCCTTTCCGGTCAGGTCATGACCTTGACCTGAGGTCAAATTTTTAAGTTGACCTTTCAAGGTCAAATTATAGTTCATTCGATGCGTCTTGACGAGAGGAACACGATGCTGGTAAAAGTAAGCTCGTACAAGGCTTGGGTCAAAAGTTATTGCAGAAAAACTGTTTCCGAAAAAATCGGCTATTTTTGCAGTTTTTGCCCCCTGCAGGCAAAACCGTTGACGTTAGGTCAAATCTGAGAGAATTACTCAGAAAGGGCGTTAATAGGGCTATCGAATGCGCTTTTCCGCGGCGCTGTAGCTCTATTGGTTCCCGAGTTATGCGCTGGCTTCTTGGAAATTGTCGACATTCGACCTGGAAATCGGCGAAATTTTGCCTTCAATGACCTCTGGTGACCTGACCTTTGACCTGACCAAAAAATTGACCGAAGTGATTTCCTCATTATTTTGACGCTCTTTCGAACGCCGCCTTCCGCGTATCGCTACGTGGCCCAGGAGCCGAGTTAGAAGGGGGGGTGTTCAAACACCCCCCCCCCCCAGCAGGGCGTGGAAATCCAGGACCCCCAGCCGGGCGCGGGTTAAAAAGTTTGCCTGTGAGACGCGAATGATAATGTAGAAGATAGGCATTCGCTTGACTTTGTTATTCATTTGACGATGATGATCTTCAACTAAATATCGTTTGCTGTTTAATGCGCATCAATTGTGGAGTCATCTTGCACCCGTTCAACAAGGTAGACGTCGCATTCCTTTGAAACGTTTATTCATGGTTGTTGGCGCAGAATAATCTCTGCTAGTTTCTCAAAAGGTTCAGAGGACCTTTATGTTATACGGAGACAGCGAACAGTGACCACGCACACACAATACAAACACCAAAATAAATGAATAGGTGAATGATCTGCAACGCCACGCCTCATGACGCAGTGAACAGTTTCGGTACAAGCCGATTCAATTGTCTTCATCAGCATTATCCCCGTCAATCATCCTAATGTTTGTTTTTAACAACAGCTTTTCTAAAAATATTTTGTTTCTTCTCTTACTTGTATATATCAATACGAGTTCCTTTTTGGTACACTTCGACGCAGCTTTTTTTCATTTATTCCACTTTGCGAAGACGGGTGGTCCTTCCTTCTGCACGTCCTCTCTTCCATTCAACGAAACCAATGTTCCATCGTTCTTAACGATCACGAGTGTTGGGATTCCTTGAACACTATATTTGGACTTTAGTTCTTTGCCTACTTCACTGTTGAAAGGCAGTGCAAGCCAATTCCCATGTGATTCATTGATATATTCCTTCATGGAGTCTTCTGACTGATCGGAAGATACGAACACTATTTCGAATTCAGCACCGTCTTCAACCAGCTCATTGTAGAAATCCAGAAGGAGAGGTGTAAACATTCTGCATGGTGGACACCAATGAGCCGAAAAATAATATCCGATGATTTTCTTTGATGCTAAGCCTTCGTTAGCAGTTATTTCCTCACCCGTTTTCTTAAGTAATTTTGAGCTTTCAAGCATATCCATAACAGTATGACGGCTTGAACGGCTCGTAACAACTGTATCAGCACCCTTTCCACAACATAGCAAAGAGCACATTCTTTTTGAACAAACGCTATTTTTACGTGGTCATGTATTCAAAAATAGACGCTCGTGCTTCATATTTAGGGAAGCCCACAGATGCAAAGGCGCATAATGCGTACGTACGTCAGTACGTGCCACGTAGGCAAGACACCAAATAACCCTGTCAAAATAACTTAATGAATTTGTCGTTCAGAAGTGCATGTGTGAATTAAATGTCATTACGATGACGGGGCATGAATTACCCCAATAAACGGTTCCTGACTAAGCTGGCCTGAAGCTTATATGCATGTTTGTTGTATTGCAGCGCAATTTTCTGAACACAAGCAACAGTTGTGTCCGGAAGAGTGGCACTGAGGTCAATGACCTTTCTTCTAGCCGGTATTTAAGTGTTACGGTAAATTTATTCTTTTGATTTCAAACACAAGGTTAAGATAGGTAACCATATTAAAATATGTACTTAATGTAGCTCAATGCCTTTTTCTTTTAATGAACACCAAACACAATCGAAATTGAGGGACCCTGAATATCCGAATCCGAGCCACGCCACGCTGTGGTTTTCAGCCGAATCTGGAGAGGGAGGCAATCCTGCCATCTGCTTAGCTTTTCAACGGATGATCGTAGATTTAGAACCATTATTTTTTTATGGATGCTAGTGCTGGATCTACAATCTCGGTGGATCTCATGACAATCCGCCCGGATCATCACCCTGCTTCTTACCATCCTCTGGATCATCACGCCCCCTCCAGATAATCGCTTGCCATCCCTCCGGATCATCACTCCCCATCTGTCTGGATGTCGCGGTGCTGCGGGACCACGCTGCCGTCGATGATGCGATTCTCGTAGCTCCAGTTCTCGAAGCCGGGAGAGCGCAGCAGCTCCCCGCAGCTCTCTTCGTAGAGCCGCTGGCCCGAGTAGCAGGCCGCCTCGGCACCGTACTGGTACATGGCCTGGTTGGAGATCTGCTGCACCAGCCCGTGTAGCGGGATGGGAACCTGGTGAGACACACATCTGCAAATCAGCGTAAATGGCATCGGCAGGATATCGCTATTGCTACTCACACGCTATATTGACTTGGGTAGCTGGCTATCAGGGAATTCGTAGGTAATCATGCTAATTCCTCAGCTTTGAGTTACTTTCCCCAGTGTGAATACATTCGCCTGCCGGCCTTCATCAAAAGGGAACGTACGAGTACCTTCCTTCAACCTGAAGGTCCTGAAGGATTGTGATGTAAGAACATTTGAATTTAATTGACGCCACAAAACAGCAATATTGCTCTCAACGGCTCGCTGGGTGGTCTCGCCGCGCTCGAATGGGCAAATTTGCACCGATGAAAAAAGTTCAATGTTACTACTGCCAGGTGCTCGTGCTGCTGACCTTGTGCTGTTTGGCGATCTGGTAGCCGAGGTCCAGGTCCTTGCAGTGCAGGTCGATGGTAAAGGTGGGGTCGTAGTCGCCGCGCAACAGGGACGGCGCCGACGTCTCCCACGTGAAGCTGTTGCCGCAGCCGGCGCGGATCGCGTTCCAGAACTGGTGCAGGTCCAGGCCGGACTTCTTGGCTGGTCGGCAAGGCGGTCGGGTGCGTTTTTATTGGACGGAAAATCGGCATCATGCATTAGTCATGCCACTTAAATATTTTCCGTTGTCTCTTTACAACGTCTGTTGTCTCTACATGAAGTGAGAACATTCGGTAACGTTAAATAGGTACACTTGCCATGGATAATAGTGGATAGGAGCTTTGACTTGGGTTACCGATAACTAAGGTATTCATCCAATAAAAGGTTGCAACTATCATTGCGTTTCTGCTTGGACGCAGCCTGATCCCTTTATTGACGAGTATATTCTCTCACATGCTATTTTAGCCTTCCAGCTATCATTTTTCTTGTATCCAGCCAGTTGACCTTTATATCAACGATCTATTTCTTACCGCACGCCATCATACATCATCTTACCTATCATCATGGCTTCCGCCGTCGCGATGGCATTCAGCATGCAGAGCATGTTTGACACCACCTTGGTGATGAGCGCCGATCCGACTGGTCCAAGGTACACCAGGTTAGTGTAGCTCGCCTGCGGACCAAACACACATCCTCGGTGTCACATGGAGAATCTTTGGTCGCCCGGCTCAGGTATGGAACGTGCACACAATCGGGCTCAGCGTGAGCAGTAGTATGGATGGCACGTCTTTCGCCCTCTCACCGGGAGAAACGTAACCCATCCCTTCTCTCACCGATAGTATCGGTGAGACGAGCTCGACGACGGCCTTGTCGCCGCCCAGGTAGGTGACCATGGTGCCCGTCTTCAGCGCCGAGAGGCCGCCGGTGATGGGCGCCTCCACCATCTCCACCTGCTTGTCCTTCAGCTGGAACAGACGGCGCGACTTCAGTCACATCAGCAGCAAGCCGCTACACATGCCCTCTGCCCGTCGGGTATCATATCGTTTAGTCTAACATTTAGCTTTGAACATCCAGGGCCCGTATTCGCAACAGCATTGCTCGTAAGTACCGAATCAGGGTACCGAATCAGCGTCCTGCTACATGGCTTCCTATGCCATGATCTACCATAAGACGTCCTAATCTCATCAGTTGGCTCCGCCTGCTGTGTCAGCCCTCTTGATAGTTATTCAGGAAAAGTGTTTCCATATACCTCCTTGTGGTAGCGCATGGTAGCCTGGTAATCGGTGGTCGAGTGGTCGATCCACACGGTTCCCGGTCGAAACCCTGCCAGAAGACCGTCCGGACCGGCGTACGACTGCTCCACGTGCTCCGGCTTCGGCAGACCTGGGCGAGCGGAACGGGGCGTCAACTGAACAGAACAGTAGGGTCAATGGGTGAATAGAACAGGACGGCAGCTGAACAGAACAGGATGGCTACCCAGCGAGCAAAGCAGGGCGACCGCTGAACATAAACAGAAGGGTTGCTGCGAGCAGAACAGGTCAGGATGTCAATGATCGTCGCTTGAACAGAGCTACTGAGCGAATAAAACAGATCAGCATCGAGTGAATAGATTGGTGTTTGAGTAACGCTGAACAGCGCAAAGCGGTAGCAGAGCGAAAGAGATAGGCACTGCCCAGTGCCCACTCGGCGTTGACTTCGCCAAAAGCATAGGAATGGGAGGTCCCTGAAAGATAGTCTGAAGTGCTGAGCTGGTAACATTTATACATAGAGCAACTGTCCAGCGAATACCGCGCTGTCGTAATTGTTGCTATGCTAAACAGTAATCCAAGGCCATATATAGTAATCACAGCGTTGTGCCTTACGAGCTTACGACCATTCCAGGCCAGGCCATTTATCCCGGTACGGATAGGTATGTAATGCATGACGGCTCAGCTCAGGATGACCGACGGCTCAGAAGACCTCGTGACTGTCTGGTGGGGTATCTTCTGGGTACCTATTCTCTAGCATTAGGCCTCAACTCCGGGTGAACCCAGCAGTACTGACATGTAATGACGACATCGGCCTTTTGTGCCACCTGGCGGGAGCTGTCGGCCACCGCCACCCGATCTGCTAGCGCTGACATCCGCGCGCCGTCTGTGTCGAACATGGCCGAGACGGTGTATCCGGAGCGCAGAAGATTCCTCACAACGGCGTCACCTGGGGGGGGGGGGGCAGCGTTAGCACGTGTGCTCCTGGGGGGGGGGGGGGGAGTGCGTCTGATCAATGAAACAAAAAACCATGAGCAGTTTCCTGGAATTGCGTACTAATATGCGACGTCTAGTCAGACTCATCTCTTTCTTTACCGGTAGGATAAAACGAAAGTAAGTTTATTACTCGGCTGAATCTTATACACTTACTGCTCATTGCTTAAAAAATTAGCCAAGAATAAAAAAGCATGCACATCTAAATAGTTGTTTTCCATAGGTTATAACATTAGCGGCAAGTAATCGTAATCAAACTTGAAAAACTCCAACAAAACATTGGAATTTAAGCTTCAAAATTATACCTACCTACGCGTCATCTAGTGCGTACCTATTATAAAAAGGCCCGATAATAACTTACGAGCAGCAAACAATAGAGTTATCTAAACTATCCAGACTTAGGTATATGACTAAATCGCAAAGCAGCGCCCCAGGGGCCTTTTGCCTACGACCTGTTCATATAAAACTTGCCGACGTTTCCAATGCCGATAACCCCGATCGGCGTCTCTTTGGTGACGGAGCTGAGCAGTCGACACTGGACTCCATGGTGGTGCGTCTGGCAGAGACCTGGCAGCACCTTCCTCAGACCTGAGGTCAGACGGAGCCCGGCGCGCAGCATGGTGTCCTGGTGATACGCCGAGACTGGTAGAAGGTGTGGGAGAAGTGGCAACAGCTGACAGCTGCTGGACACTGGTAGATGCTAGAAGCTACTGCGATGAGAGCTGCTGAACGAAGCTACAGCCGCCTGATGGTGAGCCGGATGTCACTGGATGACGCGTCTTTTCACTGGGAGCGCACTGAAACGGTGTAGACTCGAACCGCACAGGGATTCAACCGTCTCTACGCCGATATGAAAGCACTGTGTGGTGGACTGAGCGGCAGTCGACAACAGCCGACAAGACTGGCACCCAAGGCCGACAGGGGCCACATGGAACTGCTCAACTTGCTGGCTGTCATTACAAACAGACTCCTGAGCATGCCCACGAACACTGCCCATGTTTAGACCCATGTGATAGCCTCTCGATGGCGAGTAAGTTTGATATAACCTCACTCGTTCGTTCGGACCCACACCGGACCGGGAGGCTGCTTGAGCGCGCCCTTGCGTTTTTTTTCGCGTTTGTAAAAAAAAATGCTGGGCTTCGTGCCGCCGAAAAAGGGAACGTGAAAAGAGCTATCGAATGCGCTTTTCCGCGGCGCTATTAATTATATTCGTTTCCAAGTTATGTGCCGATTCGCCAAAAGAAAAAGTTGAAATAGGCAATACTTAACCCTCGCCCGCACATGCCATTTTCCCATCCTAGAACGCACATGGGGGGGGGGGGGGGGTTGCCACCCCCCCCCCGCGCCATTTCGTTCCTGTTGGAGATAGAGCTTAGCAGTAGAGACCAAAAAGATTCTTTGAGAAGAGACGAATCCAATGATACCCAGTTTTACCTTCTCAGGTCAGTCATTGACCTTCCAGGTCAGGTCAAACAAAAAAATGTTGCTGTTTTGGGTCACCGTTGGATATCAAATGCGCTGCTTATCAAATACCGATGACGATGCTGTTTTCTGGTGCCAAGCCAGCTAGAACCTCTTTGTCACACTACCCGACCAGAATTTTGCTGCTGAGGTCATTTCAGGTCAAGTTAGGTCAAGGTCAATTACATGTGTTTGTATGTCTGTGTGTGTGTATGTGTATACAGATGTGTGCACCGATTGTTTTTGGGTCTATATTACATGAAATCATGATCTGAGAAGCTTTTACCAAAAATGCAGCCAAAAAACTTCACAAAAAGTAAATTAAGCTTGCCTAAAACGCAATTATCTTAGATGACCTAGGTTGACCTTGACCCTGACCTTGACCCCTGTACATCGTCGAACAACATGTTCCATGATAGGTGGGAGGTAAGACTGGCAAAAAAGGCCGAAATCAGGGTGTCAAAAGCTCACAAGGCCCACGGCAAGCGCAAGATGTTGAGAATTGGCCATTTGGGTCATGACATGACCTGAAAAACAAGGTCATATCTCCGAAACTGAAAATCACAGAAACTTGAAATTTTCAGTGGACATCAAGAAAGGATAGAGGAGCAGCTATACGAAAAATCAGCCTTCTAGCTCTAAAAATGTTGAGTGCAGAGCAGAAAGACTACCTGGGGGGGGTGGCAACCACCCCCCCCCCCCCCCATGTGCGGGCGAGGGTTAACCTATGATGAATCCTGTTGACCTGACCATTGACCTGACCTAAAGAATGGCTTGTCTACTTTCTCCGTGATTTTTTTTTTTGACACTTTCGAATGCCGCTTACCGTGTGTCGTTACGTGTAGCCCAGGAGCTGAGTAAGACGGGGAGCTGTGCAGCGTGCAACCTCCCACGGCCTTGCCCGGTTGGCAGTCGTGCCTTATTGAGGAATAAACACAGCTCCCATGTTCTCTCGCGTTCGTCAGTGGCAACAATGGCAAAGCACTGTTTGAAACCAATGCTAGCAAGTCATTCATTATTCATGTCACGATTATTTTTCAAGTAAATGTTTGACTTTTTAGTCTCAACCAACTGAAACTGCTTTTATTTCAACATAATTCGCAAAATTTGCAAGCGTAAAACATACCTACCCGATGAAGCTGTATACACGACATCTTCACCTTCTAATAATCCATATATTCGCTTCCTCATACCACGCTGATAAAAAAAAAAAAATATCGGATAAAGAGAACGACAAAATAGAGATGCGTAACTATTGGTAATAAAACTCATACCAATTTACTCTCAATTTAAACTTCCCGCTCCCCATTTCACTTCATGCGCGATCAGAGTTAACCCTCGCCCGTATTGGTGTTTTTCCAGCCGCGAACGTATAAGGGGGGGGGGGGTCCGTTGGACCCCCCTTGCCGTTTCGCCCCTGATCGAGCTAGAGCTTCGCGGAAAAAACGAGCGTGTTGCCCGTGACGAGAGGAAGCCGATGATACCCAATTTTAAGGTCCTAGGTCATCGGTTGACCTTCCAGGTCAGGTCAATGACCCAAAAGTCGGGGAAATCGGGACCTGTTAGAAAGTCGTAAAGCGTGGCTGCTATGGGGTTTTTCGGGGTGCTGATCACGAATATCATGTTAGTTTTGATCACAGATGATGTCTTCATGCATTTAGGCCAGGTCGGGTCAGGTCAGGTCAGGTCAACCAGTAAGGGTATTCGTAGTAGGTGGCAGCCGCCTCTGACAGCTTCGTAACATGTTACGAAGGTGCCAAAACTACTTCGTAAATGTTCATATGGTTGCTAAATTCGAATTCAGCTCCAAAAACTGGCCTAGAAACATGTAAAACTCGGAAAAGTGAACCGAGGTCATCAAAGGTCAATGACCTGACCTGACCTTCCGGTGACCTTGACACCCACCCTAATGCATGGGAGCAACATCATATCCCATGTTTGAACGCTTGAAACCACGAAAAGACTGCAAACGCGCGGCTAATGCGAGCCGACATACGCCGAATCGCGATTCCGGCCAAACATGGTCTCGAAAAGTAGGTCACAGGTCAAAGGTCATTAGGGTCAGGGTCATGAAAATTTCAGGGTAGGTGTAAAATTGATTAACCCTCGCCCCGTTGGGGGGGGGGGCATTTTGGCCCCCCCCCTGTGGTTTTTCCTGAATAGCAAGAAAACGGCGGCGCGCAGCACCGCCAAATTTTCAGTACCTTCCCGGGCATCAATTTGACACCTTCACACAAAATTTCAAGTCTTAGGTCACCTTAGGTCAGGAGTTATTGAGGTCAAACTGAGGTCATGTTCGAGCAAAAATGAGCAAAAAACATGCAATCTTGAAACGCTCACCAAATCTACAGTTATCAAGCAATTTCAAAGTTCTTTATATGGTCTAGTAGACAAAAAGCGGCGCTACAAAACTGCTATCTCGGATTTTCAAAATTTTCGGTTTTTGACCAAAAAAAAATCAAAAAATTGATTTTTTTAGAAAAACTTTGAAAAAATCCAAAAATTTTCCGAATTTCGAAAAAAACGGAATATATGTGATAGTCCCAGCGCTCTTCTATATACATACCAAATTTCAGATCGATATCTCGTTTTTTGGCCAAGTTATAGCGAAAAAACTGTTCAAAAATGATGACGTCAAATTTTTGAACTCAATTTTTAGCGATTCTAGACCACATACGGCAAAACAAAGACCACCATTGAACTCCTCGTGACGAGCTGCATCGATTCGATACCCATTTTATGCAAAAATATTAACTTTGAAATTTGACCTAATTTGACCTGACCTTGACCTGACCTTGACCTGACCTTGACCTGACCTTGACCAAAACGTGATCTAAGCTGGCCCCAAAGGCTGCCTGACCCATATAATCGCATTTGTCATGTAAAATGGACCATAAAACATGTATCACACGACACTTTCATATTGTGACCCCCCCCCCGTGACCTGACCTCTGTGACCTGACCTGGTATCAGTGACCTCAAATAGCAAAATATGTGTTTGAAGAACATTTCCCCATCGATGATTTTCAATGAAATGCATTTTACTCGATTTTACAACGCATTTCTTGAAGTGCCTGTAAACGGTGAAAATTGGACCTTTGACCTGACCTGTGACGTCATCGGTTTGACCTAGGTCAATAAAATTGGGTCACAAGGTAGTTCCCCGTTGGGGCTATCCAACGCCGTTTACCGCTTGTCGCTATGTTGCGTGGTTCTCGAGATCTTAGGGGGGCCAAAATGGCCCCCCCCAACCGGGCGCGTTGCTCGGCAGAGCCCAACGGGGCGCGGGTTAACGCGAGGGTACTGAAAGTTTCGTCGCGATCGGCCGCTTTTTACGCGAGTTATTCGCGAAAAACCGAGGGGGGGGGGTCCGTTCGACCCCCCCCCTATACGGGCGAGGGTTAAACGGGCACTGCAGACAGTCTCCATTAAAAAAAAAGACTCCAGACATGCATCCACTTTATTCATGACACAGCCAATTCACTTCAAAGATAAGAGAATTTACTGAATTGCATACCTCCTTGCTGCACATTACAGCAGTTCGCGCTGGTCAAAAGATAACCAGCGCACTTTCAAATGGAATAAACGCTTGATGAGTTATTGGTTTACAATCTATCGACGTGGTTACATGGCCGCACTGCGAACCATCAAGTTCCGGACATTTAGGGCCTGGCAGCATTGAAGGTCGGTCATTCACATAACGTTACTCTGGAGAAGGCTCGAGCGTCTCGCCTTCCGGCTATTTGGCCTGATCTTATATAAACTTAAGGTGGATATTTTACCTAGACCACATTAAATCTGCACACCTAATTATATCAAGATTGATCAATTAATGCAGTTTTTACCTGTTCTATTAAATGCGTGATTTGAGTGAAGCGAAAAAAAAACGGAATCATAAATAGATATACATTAACTCGCGCATGACTGGGGCATTTTCCATAACGCGAGTGACTGGGGGGGGGGGGGGACTCTCCTATTCCGAAAACCCTCCTCCTAGCTCCGAAACTACTGAGCCGATCGTCAAAATTCAAACGGCGTCTAATAGCCCTAGAAAAACTGTCGCATGGAATCTATTTTCATTGACCTCGAGGTCACCGATGACGTCACAGGTCAGGTCAAAGTAAAAATTATCAGCATTTCTGCTTGTTCACAGTTTAGGATCTGACCGCCGGCTGACAGGTCCGATCAGGCTCATTTTTTGTTAAGGCACTCCTTGCTATATGCCTTAGATACCCTGAGGGAACCTAACTTTTACTTCGAATCTTTCAGGTCAAGACCAGGTCATCCTAGGTCACGGAAATTTTATGTAATGTATCGGCAGTCGGCACCTTACGCATGTTTTATGGTCCATTTTACACATAGATTTTGAAAACAAGGTCGTCTGTGTCATTTTAGGTCATTTTTGGCTGTACCTACCTATTGACCGGAGGTCAGGTCACTTCAGACCTCAGAGAAGGTCCAATTTTGAAAATGATTTTTTTTTTCAACAAAAATGTGCCTATCAGATGCAGTTTGAGCTCAGGAATGCGACAAAGCCATTTATTTTGCTGTATGATGTCAGAATAGTACTGAAAAAAATAGTTTTCAAAAATATATAATTGTAAAATTTTGACAATATTGCAAATAACTTGGCTATGATATAAAACTTTATCGGAATTCACTGGGATTGTATTGCGTATGCAAGTCCAAATATTTCGGCCAATATTGTTTGGCCTTGGTCACTGGACAACTACAATAAATAGCCTTGAATAACCCTATAAGTATAGCTCACATTGCAGCGATACCCAAAATTCTAAATTAAATTCACAGACAAAAAATTCAAATCCCCGCGCGCTATCAACCATGTAGGAGATTCCAAGTTAAGAATATCTAGATACACTCACTATTTCCTATCAAAGTATGCTGTAAATTTAACTATAAAATACATACAAACACACAGACAAGAAGTTATACACAGAACACATTCGGCGTCAT